ACGTACACCGACTCTGGCCAGGCCCATCCTGAGCGCAGGACCGGTGCACAAGCCCTCCTGCCTTGGCCAGGAGTGTATATATGCACCGATCCTGGATCAAGGATGGGCCTTGCCAGGATCGGTGCATGTGCACAGTTCTCTTCGCCCGATATATGAGGTAGGCGCAATGCGTACACCATCAACCAAGACCTAGTGCCAGCAGCGGTCCTGGCAAGAGGCTCCAGCACAAGCAGGTTCGCCCTGCCAAGCTTCACTCGACAAGGCCATTTCTGAATCTTCTTCGTCCTGCCAGTTCTCTTCGTCCGAATTTCTTGGCCATCTCTGAATGTTGGAGGCCTGGAAATGGGCACCAACACCAACACAAGGGATTGCCTCGACAGGGGGCAGATGATCCTAGATTTCGGTGCTGGTGGTAATTGTTCGGCCACCTTGGCAGCCAGAATATTACCACCATCATCGAGATCGGGATCTTCTTCCCTCGGTGGAGGCACACCGCCGATGTTGGTGTTGGTGTCAACCTGCAGGCCTGCGAGAGTGTTCCTCCTCTCGAGGGACGCGCCCGGCTGAACCTCTGCTGCTGCGCGGGCGCTTCCCTGGGGCCCTCTGCCCTGTGAGTCGTCGGGCTGCTCTGCTGGGCCCGGTTTCCACCACCACCGCCAGAAGTTGGAGGGGGGAAGGAGGAGGAGGATAAGGATTAAGGAGGAGGAGGAGGAGGAGGAGGAGGAGGAGGATAAGGATGAAGGAGGAGGAGGAGGAGGAGGATTAAGGAGGAGGATGCGGATGAGGATGAGGAGGAGGATGAGGAGGAGGAGGAGGAGAAGGATAAGGATGAGGATGAGGATGAGGATGAGGAGGAGGAGGAGAAGGACCCCCTCCCCCTCCAACTTATGGTGGTGGTGGTGGTGGAAAACAGGCCCATCACGTTCGGCCACCCGCAGCGCCGCGATCGGCGCAATCGAATCCGTGTTTCTGCGTCGCTCACATACTTTCGGAGGTGCGCACGGATTTCTAATTCACCCGCGTGGGCGCAAAGACATTCGTGCGCACGGCAAATTCGCGGGTCCATCCTGCACCGCACTCTGATGGCAATGGTCCGGCTTCTGACTCCGTCTCCTCGCGGGCGTGAAAGCCCGCAAAACAGCTCTCCGAACAGGCTAATGGAAGAAGATGCCGACAACGAGGAGAAGCAAAATGAGGTATGGTGAGCAGGAGGGAGATGGATCAGTAGTGTGAGTCGGGTGAAGAGCAGTACGAGGGGGATGAAGAGCAGGGGTAGGAGGAGCAGCGGCTGGATCAGGAGGAACACGAGGAGCGAGGTTGATGAGAAAGGCTACGGGAGAGGGGATGGGAGAGCCAACTAGAGGAACTGGAACGGCAGCTAGCCCGGGTATTGCGCTAGTCCAGGGATGCCCGACAGTTTGAGGGGTGATGGGGGTCAAAATGGCTTGAAAAACGACGAAGAGAAGCGGCTGCTGATTAGGATCGCTCTGGACCTGATTGAGCCCTGGGGGATGAGAGAAGACGAAGCAGAAGAACCATGAGGGAAAAATAATCAGACTGGAGGGAGCATGGAGTAGGGAGGAAGGGCAAACGAAGAGGGGGGAGGAGCATGATGAGGCATGAGCAGCGGGGACTTATGAAGGGACAAATATGATAAAAGAAAGATAATCAACATCACCACCTGGGCTATCCATACCGTGCCCATGCCAACCAACCCTGGCACGTGTTTGCCGGCTGGCCTAGAGAAACGCAAACAATGCTCTCAGACCTATCCTTCAAGATGAGGGAGAGGAGGCGAAGAAAGAGAAAAAGGTCGAAGACCACGACGACGTCGAAGGGATGAGAAACATGATCACGCGCGCACGCCCACAACACATCAATAGCAGGACGACATGCATATGACACCGCCTTCGAGCCGATGGTCGAAATGCTACTTTTGTTTTGCTCCACGTTGAAGATCTCTGGGCACGATTCTGAAAGGCTTGCGCATCACTCTCAACGGACCCTCTGAGGGGAGCCCGAATAAGAGCCAAGTAACTAATTTGTAGAGAGAACGTGACATCCCGCACGCCAGCCCAGATAGTAAAGAAGATGCAACTTACACTGGAACGGTGCCAGCCGTGGCACAGGAATATCCTGGTGCATTATCAGCCCTCGGGAGAGAGAGCCTTATTCTAAGCAGGCGTAGAGGCCCACACCGATTCCGCACAAACCCTCCCTTGCCCGTACATCCCACATCTGTTGCTGCGCACGCTTCGAGAGGTGTGGGCCTCTGTGCCTAATTCCGCGCTGCAGGCATCAGGCGACGCCGTCGGGTGGCCAGTTGGCGCCACGCCCGCGCTGCGCGAGGAAGGCACTGGGGAGACCTCCAAAGGCCTGGGCAAGTCCAGGGCCAGTCCTGGGTCACCTCCACCTCCTCCTCCTCCTCCTCCTCCTCCTCCTCCTCCTCCTCCTCCTCCTCGTCCTCGTCCTCCTCCTCCTCCTCCTCCTCCTCCTCCTCCTCCTCCTCCTCCTCCTCCTCCTCCGCGCACCGCGCCCCGCGACGCGCGCTCACCTTCGCGCCCTCGCGCCCTCTCGCCGCCCTCTCGGAGCAGGGCGACCGCGGGGCCCCGGCCACCGCGCGCCACGCGCGCACCGCGACCCTCCTCGTGCCCACGGCGGGCGACCCCGCTCTCGTCCGCCCCGATCGTCGCCTGGCTCGCGGGTCCGGGCCTCTCGCCGCCGCCCGGCAGGGTCGCGGCGAGGGCGCCGCTGCCGGGAAGCGCCCCGGGGACCGGCGAGCCGCCGAGGGGCCGCCCCGGCGAGGCCCGAGAGCACCACCGAAGACCGCGACGCGCGATGACCCTCGCGCCCCCGCGGGCGACTGCGCAGGGAAACGACAAGCCGTGCGCCAACTGACCGCCCGCGAGGTGTGGTTCGCCAAGGGTGCGGTTTGCAACCGGCACCCTGGGGGGGCACGGAGGAGGAGGAGGAGGAGGAAGAGGAGGAGGCGGAGGAGGAGGCGGAGGCGGAGGCGGAGGAGGAGGAGGAGGAGGAGGAGGAGGAGGAGGAGGAGGAGGAGGAGGAGGAGGAGGAGGTGGGGGGGGGAGGACAGTAGTGAGCTCGCGTCATATCTGACATCCTACCCCTCCCTCCCATCCCTTACCATGGCGTAGATCCCTCTCTACTCGCACAGTCGGATGTCGAGCAGGGCAATGATCCCGAAAGGGTACGCGATGCATTGTAGAGCACGGCATGGCATGGCGTAGAAGAGCACCGCAAAGCGTAGTATCAACCTATCATTGCATTGCATGCCGTGGCATGGCACGGGAAATGACGCCAGCGCTGCAGCGGGAGCACGAGTCGGAACGAGCGGACGCGCGGAAATAACGCTGCAGCGGGGGCACGATTCGGAACGAGCGGAAGCACGGAAATGAGGCCAGCGCTGCAGCGGAAGCACGATTCGGAACGAGCGGGGCCCGAAAATGAGGCCGGCGCCTCAGCGAGAGCAGCATTTTGAAAAAATGCATGCGAAAACCCAACTCCGGGGAATCCGGTGTAAAAAAACAGTACGCGGGGGGGCTAATACTTTCAAACCGTCATCAGGGGAAGAGGAAGAGTAGTATTCATATTGAGTAATTGTGGAGGGGGGAGGAGGAGGGGGGAGGAGGAAGAGGCGGAGGAGGACGAGGAGGTGGAGGAGGAGGAGGAGGAGGAAGGTGGAAGGAGGAGGTGGAGCAGGAGGAGGCGCAGGAGGAGGTAGGAGGAGGAGGCGGTGGGGAGGGAGGAGGTGGGGGAGGTAGGAGGAGGAGGAGGAGGAGGTGGAGGAGGGGACGGAGGAGGTGGAGAGGAGGCGGAGTGAGGAGGGAAGAGGAGGGCAGGACGAGGTGGAAGAGGATGGGGGAGGAGGAGGAGGAGGAGGGAGGCGGAGGAGGAGGAGGCGGAGGAGGCGGTAGGAGGAGGAGGTGGACGAGGAGGAGAGGAGGAGAGGAGGGGAGGAGGACGAGGAGGGGAGGGGGAGGGGGAAGAGGAGGAGGAGTTCTCCGCCCCGGCCCGAGGCCCGACGAGGACAGCGCCGAGCTCCCCAGGCCCCGACGGCGCCGATCGCAAGCCACACCCCAGACGTAGCCGCGCCAATTGCAGTCGCCGACAATGGAACGCCCGCGAGGCCGCTCGCGCGCGCAGGAAGTGTGCCGAGCACGCCCATCACGCGCCCGCCGCTGCCCTGCTCTTGGCGGGCTCGCCCTGGCCCGCTGCCTTGGGGCTGCCGTCGGCCGTCGCCAAGTCGACCGCGGGGGTGGCCTCCTGAGAGGGCGACGGGATCTGTCCACGGCCACTGCTCCCTGGCCAGGCCCATCCTGAACCCCGCAGCGGTGTAGGAGATGGAGGAGGAAGAGGAGGAGGAGGAGGAGGAGGAGCGAGGAGGAGAAGGGAGGAGGAGGAGGAGGGAGGAGGAGAAGGAGGAGGTGAGGGGTGGCGGAGCGGAGGAGGCGGAGGAGGAGGAGGAGGAGGAGGAGGAGGAGGAGGAGGAGGAGAGGAGGAGTGAGGGGGAGGAGGAGGAAGAGGAGGAGCAATGAGGAGGAGCAGGAGGGAGGGAGGAGGCGGAGGAGGAGGCGGGGGGCGGAGGAGGGAGGAGGAGGAGGAGGAGGAGGAGGAGGAGGAGGTGACGGCGAGGAGGAGAAGGAGGAGGAGGAGGAGGAGCGAGGAGGTAAGGATGAGGATGGGATGAGGATGAGGAGGAGGAGGAGGAGGAGAGGGGAAGAGGAAAAGAGGAGGAGGGGAGGAGGAGGAAGAGGAGGAGGTGGAGGTAGGAGGAAGGAGAAAGACGAGTGGAGGACGGGAGGAGGAGGAGAAGGAGAAGGAGATGGAGGATGAGGAGGAGGCGGTGTAGGAGGAGGAGGTGAGGAGGAGGAGGAAAGAGGAGGAGGAGGAGGAAGAGGGAGGAAGAGGAGGAGGAGGAAGGAGGAGGAGGAGGAGGACGAGGAGCATGTAGTATTACGTACACGCCCTTCTGGCTTTGCCACGCCCCTCTGGCTTTGCCAGGACGACATGTACACAGCGCATGGGCCCAGGATGGGTCCGACCAAGGGGCGGTGGATATGTGCAGGTTTCGTCGCCCGAAGAAGAAGAAGACACGACACAAGCACGCCCTTCGGGCTGTCCGCGCGGGTTTTTCTGGGTCGCCCAACTTCGCGCATCGCGCCCAGCGAGGCGCGATTCGCGGTCATCGCGTCCTCGCGTTGCCGCCCTAGAGAAGGGCACCCTCGCGGCCAGCGCCATGATTGTCCTCGCGCCCCCGCGGGAGACCTAGATTTATCGGTCCAGCGCTGACGCGAGAAGTCCGCGCGGACCCCCCAACAGATCATGGGTGTGCCTTGTCTCTTCTTCGATGGTCGTCTTTCTTCGCCGTCTTGGCGCCCCTGATGGGCAACCACATGTGAACCCTGACCCTACAGGTCAGATGCCCAAACCACCGGCGGAATCTCAAAATTCGAAGTTCCTGCAGCTGGAGGAACCCACAGGGGGGTGTCCGAGAACTCCGGCGCCGATCGGACCCGCAGGGCCGCAGAGGTCGGTCAGCATCGTTGGATATGCCCCCGCTCCCACTGGGGGGGAGCCTTGGCCTTCCCCCCGGATGGGATGGGTGCCGTCTCCATCGGGCTTGGCATTGAGGGATGAAAAACGACCCTACCCTGGGTTACAAGTGCGCGGTCTGTAAACCTCCTGGGAACCCCCAAAGCCCAGAGCCGCCAGGACGCGGCACATCACGCAGGGTTTACCCTGTCAGCCCGCAGGAGTTTCAGCGCACAGCGCCTCGTAAACCAGGGTAGGGGCGTTTTTTCTGCCCTTGATGGCAGCATCCATCCCCAACTTGTGGGGGTAGACTGGTAGCGCTAAGAAATGTGGATCGCTGTGGAAGAAGAAAGAGCTGCATAAGCATAAACTTTCAGAGCTCCGCGCGGATTTTCCTGGATCGGCGCTGGGGCGATGGGTTCAGATCCCAACCGGACGCGTGAGATCCCAACCGGACGGTTCAGATCTTAACCGTCTAAAACACCAGGCACGGTCAGATCCCAACCGAGGAGGAAGCGAATAAAGAAAGCATACTGAAACATTGCCATACCTGTTCATTGCTATCTGAAATTGCGATGGGCACCTTACAGGAGCAGATTTACGCCTGAGTTATTGCGGTTGGGATCTTGCGCGTCTTTTGCTGAATTTAGTAGTGGTAGAAGTAGTAGTGGTAGTAGTAGTAGTAATAGTAGTAGTAGTAGTAGTAGTAGTAGTAGTAGTAGTAGTAGTAGTAGTAGTAGTAGTAGTAGTAGTAGTAGTGGTCGTAGTACTCGTAGTAGTCGTAGTTATGTAGTAGATAGTAGTAGTAGTAGTAGTAGTTGTAGTAGTGAAAAGTAGTAGTAGTAGTCGTAGTAGTAGTAGTAGTCGTAGGTGTAGTGTACTAGTAGTAGTAGTAGTGTTGTAGTAGTAATGATTTACTAGTTAGTAGTTGCATGAGTATTTTTTTTTTTTTTTTGGTAGTAGTAGTAGTAGTAGTAGTAGTAGTAGCAAGTTGTAGTAGTAGTAGTAGTAGTTTGTAGTGTAGTAGTAGTAGTAG